GATACCGATACGTAATATCGGATCGGTCCATCTCTAGTTCAGACACCAAATATAGAGTTTTGCACATCATTACTCAAATGTGACTTTATGGTCCCCACGGACCGGTTTATGTCCAACAATATTTTATGGACCGGCCTTTAAGGCGTCACCGATAAATACAACAAAATAAAACCAGTACCTGTACCAAAATTTGTTCATAACACACGGGAAAAGACCCAGGGAAACCTAAACGATAAAAACTGATTAAAAACCCCGAAACCATAAATTTCACACCCCAGCCTCAACTCTTGCGGCCCGGTACCAAACGACTCAAGGACTGGTATCGGGCCATGGCCCGGGGGTTGGGGAAGGCTGTTCTATCGAACACTATAAAGCCGACAAAGAGAAATTAGAAATGCATACCATGAGTTCAGGTTTTAGGAGAATAATCGCTGTCTTATTTTCGGCAAGGGAAAAAAGGTTGTGGAAAAAAAATATTTAAAAATGGATCAAAGTAATCACAAGGAGGTTTTTTGTGTACCCAGCAACCGCCAGCAAGCACTTGCCAACTGATTGTGGGCCTTTGCTGTGTAAATGTAGCCTTTGTGAGGTCCTCTGCTGCTGTGATCAAGAGGGAAATCTTGTCCAGACCCTACTGACTTTTGCCTGTCTTTTCGTCTGCCAACACAATGTGGTTGCCTCTCTAACTTGTTTTTCTTTTCTTTTTTTCTTCCATAGGCGAAGCCCCTAAATGACCCTATCCACTCTGAATGAGAGGGCAAGATTCGACTTGTTTCAGACTCTGGCAAACCACCAGCATTCTTTACCAGTGTAGAAGATTAGACTTGACAGCACAGTTTTACCTCCCATCATTGGTTCCAGTCAGAGAAAACCACATCTGCTTTCTACCTCGAAGGGAAATAGAAAAGGAAGAAACATCCGTTTACTTTCCATGATTAGTTCCTCATCTTCTTCTCATTGCAGTGTTTTTCCATTTTACCTCAGGGATCCTCACCCACTGTCTACCTCCACCACTGAAACAGCCAGCCCAGTGACTGGAACACGAAGCAATAATACACCCGTGACCTGCCGCTGTTGTTACCGTGACAACCAGTATTGCCTCTCAAGATCTCAGTGCAACCGTGACGTGAGCAAAGACCTTTGACCTGTAACCACCTGCCAGCCCTTACCTGTTCACGGCAGACAACTGTATACCTCAGCAAACACAACTTCTGGATATTCAGGAAACAGAAGTAAACTTTCAGTCACGACTCACTATCCTGGTGCTTTAATCTACCCAGCAGGCGACACATGCTCACTAACCTGATGCTTTAAGCCACGCAGTAGACTTCTCACTCTGGAATCTTCCAATTGCCTTAAAGGCACGAGTATAGCAACAGTAGCCAGGTACTTGCACAAAACTTCAGTTCATCTGATCCTCAGCAAAATCACATCATACACAAGCCTCAAGATCTGAGCAGTAGCAGAAATCAGCAATCGCTCAGGGGACGGCTTTGGAAGTACCCCCACCGCCTTGAGTTTGGACGTCTCTGTGGGACAGCTGTGGAGTAGTGAAGCTACCCCAGGAAGAGGAGAAAGTATTGGGAGCCTCATGTTCTCTTACTACTCTGCAGGAAGATGCAAAAAATAAAGAACTGACTGTCAGATGTAACAGAGCGTTATATGCCCGAACGAAGTAAACACAGAACATATCCGTATGGTGACGGAGAAGAATAAAAGAAGGAAACAAAACAAGCTTCTCCTACAGATGAGAATATAATGGTGAGTCGTTTTTTTTTTTTGTTTTTTTTTTTTGTTTCACCCCCCACCCCTACCCCCTTTAGTTTTATATTTTTCATTTCTTATAGGTATCACTAACTGACATTTGAATGACATTTCTGCCTTATTAAATGATACAGAGTGGAGCCAGACAGAAGATTAGGGAGAGATGGAAGGAGCGCTATGCAATAAAGGTCATTAAATGCTTCAATAAATCTTAACAAAGAAACATCACACTACTTTCTAGCCACACTGAGGTTTATTGCTTTAAACAATTGAAAGTTAAATATGACAAATTATCAGTGGCTGTGTCACATTTTGATGGTGCATATGGTGCCTTTAAGTGGTCCTTAACATTTAGCTTGCTGGCTATAATAGAAACAAAGTCGACATTTAGGGCCATCTGCCTAAAAACTTGAGTAAAACGTCTTCTAGTATTTCGAAATCATGTGCTGTGAGATGATAAAATGTTCAAAATATAGATTTTTCTAGTATGACTCCAGGAAAGGATGGAAAACAGTGTTGCTCTGTCACTGAAATGTCTCGGTGTCCATCGTTATGAAATCTTGTTGAGACTTTTAGGGTTCCAGGACACTGTATCAATGACTTTGGGAAGCTCCTGACCTTTTCATTTGTCACTGAAATATCTCTGTAGCTGTTGGATCGGATGGTTTGGTATAAAATCTGGTATGTTTATATTCTCTATGGTGAATTTTGACAAGTGTGACCTTTCATTTTGCACCAATGTCACGTTTAGCAGTCGAAAATCTGCCATTCCTGTCAGCTACAGTAATACTTTGTGCTTGTGCTAATAGTTAGCATGCTAACACATTACACTAAAGAGAATATAACCAGTATGTTGACATTGGCAGTTAGCTCAAGGCTCTGATGTGCCTAAACTGACAGAGCACCTAGGTCATGAACATGTTCTGAACACATCTGTGAACAAAGCTCAACTGAGCTCTACGAGATTGATTTTAAGCTCAGTGAGATTCTCGTGTGTTTCACCTGTGAGAACATAGCCTCCACCTGCAGATGTAGTTTGCTATAGAGAAAGTTTACTACTTTTGTTTGGGTCCTGCTCAGAATAATAATTTACTAGGACTGTGAATTTTTCATTTAGGAGTTCTCCATCCTTCACTCCTGAGAGATTCAAAGGTCGTGCGTTGCATCTGCTGTCTTTTTTTGGTCTTTTTTTTTCCTCTTTCTTTCTTCAGTACAGCAAACGACAGCTTGAATGTATGACATCGAATGCAGGGTTTGTTTATAGCTGTGATCATGGAACTGATCGTGCTTAGCTTTAATCAGCGTAAATCACTTTTTGAGGATCGAGTCGATGTGTTCCACTAACATTAAAGCCAGCTAATATTCATCAGATTAGCCCACCTGTCCCATGTTCTTGTTCAATCTTGTCTTATTTTAAGATATGTTCGCAATACTTGACATGGGTTACATATGTCTTCCTTTTTAAAAAAAAAAAAGAAAAAACAAAAAATGGCAATTTGCCAGTAAACAATTGCACCACCTAGTCTTCTAGTACATCAGAGGCTGTCCATGAACCTAAAATTAAGTCGGGCTAGCATTCATTAATTTATGCTGCATGAGTGACTGACTGAAGCTTTCAGGACTCGAAAGAGTCTAATGAGAGTGATGGAACAGTTTCAAGAACAAGAAACGGATGCAGGATAACAGAGCACACAATTATTCAAAGCTTGTTAAAAAAAAAAAAAAATTAAAGTCTCTAAGAGACTGAGGAGTTGAAACTTATCTCAACCATTTCGCTAAAAAGTGTGATAAGTGTGCAAATCAGGACATTTATGGTTGGGAGTTTAGACGAACGTGAATTATAGATTGAACTTTGGTGGTAGAGCTTTATAAATGGATAACGTGAGATGGTTTAACTTTGAAGTCCATCCAACCTTTTCTTACAGAACAATGGTGAGTACAAAATGTCACTGTGACATATACAGAGTTTCATTACTGAGAATATCTCCATAGTGTTAGACATTTGGTTGACTGCACAAAAGTTTTATGGTTGGAAGGAGGCAGACATTCTTTAATTCTTTACAAAAGCCTTGTTTAATTTTTAATTTCAAACATAGGATCAAACATAGGATCCTACCGCTATTCATTTATTTAAGCTCAGTTTTTAAAACCTTAGGATGTAACTACAGCCCAGCCCATGCAGCAGTATATGAATGACTAACCTCGTATTGTGGATGGATTATCTCAGTTGTTCTCCTGGCTGAAGTTTGGTCCTTTTACAGCATCCTGCCATGTGATTACATTTGTTTCTGACCACCGAGAACACTCACGTTAACTTTCATCCAGTGGAAAAAAAAGTTAGCTTGTTTATATTATGCTAACATAGCTGTGTCGCTAGCGGTCACGTAGCACATCATTATATACCAGCTAGCCCAACTTCAGTAACCCTACAAACGTCACTGCTGTTTAGTTTTCTGTCTTCATTTATGTTGGAAGTGATAACAGAGCTGTACGTTTGAATTTGTTTCCAAACCCCGCAGTCAGGACATGCTATATTGTATTTAGATAGAAGCTAGCGAGCTAACTCCCTGCTAACTTCTAACTCCGTTAAATATCATAAATTCCGTTTTCATGGATGCCTGGATGTTAAACTCAACTGTTACACCTGGTAGAGCAGAACGCTGATCATTTTATTAAAGATGAAAGACTTTAAACAGTTTTTCAACTCTCAGTAATGCCATAGTGATCGTTTGATATATGGACCTGCAGCGGAGTTTAGGTCCAGACATGGCTAGTGACGTCAGACTGAACAACCGGATAGTCCCCACCAAGGTGCTGTGACGTAAAACTACATTTAATCTGAGAACTGGTAGTTGGAGGTCTGGACTAAGCAATGTTGCATACCAAAAAATGAGGTCAGCTGACTATCTGAATATTGTAAATTAGCATCAGTGGACTTTTTTCTTCCCTGATGGTCTTCCAAAATCACAACGCCAGGATTCATTAGGCTCAAATTGTAAGAGTGATTCACTCATGGATCGGCCACCACAGTGTCCACAACTTAACCCCATTGAGAATTTTTGCGATGCACGGTAAAATTAACAAACATGAATTTGAAATGTCGGTAGTTTCACCAGAAAACCAATCCAACCAAGCTTGGATTGTATTAGACGTGTGTTACGTAGCTTTCATGTATTGAAATGCTTTTTATTATCAGATTTAAACAAAGAAAAAGTACCATAAAGCTTTTCTTTCTTCTGTCACCAGTTTTAACAATGGGAATTCCAATAACACAACATCAACACATCTGACTCCTAGCATAGTACAACTCTAACACAAACTTCACATAAAAACAAAAAATACTTTATTTACACCTATTTTTGTGATATTAGCTAATTAGATGCCAAGTTGAGTGTCCATAATTTCTCTGCTCTTGCTAAAGTTGGCTAGGATCCTTGCCAACTAAGGAAAACCATCAGTATCAGTAGAGCTTTCAGATCATGGAAGATTGACATGTTGAGCTAATGCTGGTGTGACTGCTAACATGGATACATTTCAAATTACGTTACGTAGCAAAAGCCGTGTCTTAGATGGGTAAGATTGACTAATTTCCCCCAATTTGACTTTTTCAGCTAATTTTACAAACTAACAACGTAGCATAGCAAAGATATGACTAACTGGCTAAATATATTTTTCTTGTTAACACTATCACTCGTGGAAATGCTAGTTAGCTTGCATCATTGATGATCTCAAATGGCATTGATTTGAACCACAAGTATGTTGTGCAAATGCAACAGAACAGGCATATTTGTTTTTTGCAGCATCTTGTTAGCCAACATAGGGAGCAGCTTGATACTCAAGCAGAGAGTGTATATGCTGGTCTCCCAGTTGTACATGATATGACACAGTACATAATGTAGAGCAGTTCTGCAGAATAGTCTCATATGTGTCATCACTGTTTTTGCTAAAACAAAATGTGCAAATGTGAGCAACGTTGCAGTCTGCTTGATAACCCATTGGTGTCATTGGCAGTGGTTTACTGAGGCAGACTTGGGGTACTTGGTATGTGTTTGTAGCTGTCTGTGCTGCTGTTGTTATAACAGCATAAATGCTGCTTTAAATGAGTGTTGCAGAAGACATTTAAAAAAAGTTTCAGCTGTTGGTACAGAGTAGCACAGGAGAGAATCAAAGCATTGTGGCTTAGATTAAAAAAAACTTTACTAAGTCATAAGGCGACTGTTGAGATACAGCTGTAGCTGTAGATGATGCATAACATTGGTCCTGCATGTTGACTGTTGTCTGAAATGCACTGACACAATACAGATATTTATTGATGTGGCCACACGCTGATTCCTCTAAGTGTGAAGATGTAGTGCAGAGGATGAGTTTGAAGAGGAACAGGAATTACAAAGTCAGATTTCAGCTGCGGTTTAGGGAACGGGAAAGATGGAAAAAGAAGTTTGAGGGAGGACGGAAAGAGACAAAGATGAATTCTCAGCCTCACCTGAGAACCTTTGTCCCCTCCATTCAGTTCTTCCACAGGCAGACAGGGAGTCTGAGTCATGCTTATTATGCTCCATCATTGATAGTCTCCTCACGTCATGCAGTGATGTATAGAACGCAAAGCCAGCATTAGTCAGTCAGGTCAGTGGTTTGTTAGCGTGGCAAGCACAATAACTGAGCAGTTGTGTTTTTGTGTTGAGTTTAGGAAGCTTTGGCCATGTTGAACCAGTCAGAAGGCTTGGAAAAGCACACAAGTGTGTTAAATGGCCCAGCTGTTCTGTCACTGCAGAAAGGGCACATGGGGCAACGGAGGCTGGATGACATCCCATTATCTCGTCGTGTGTGTGTGTGTGTGTGTGTGTGTGTGCGCAGATACAAGAGAGTGGAGCTTTGAATGAGTCATCCATGTGCTCTCTGAGACAATTGCTGCAATCATGCTCTCTCTCTCTGTGTGTGTGTGTGTGTGTGTG